TCTCTTCCTCTCTGCAAAAACGAAGGGATTCAATACCAGGCTTCCCTTAAATGCATCAATGATTTTTATAGTGCATAGAGCAGTGTAATTAAATATTGATGGCAGAATTACCTACATGCCAGGCACCAGCTGCACCATTAGCAATGTTTATGAGCTTGCGTCAAAGTCCTCAGGGTCAGATCCTCACCTGGCGTAAATCATTGAGGCTCCATCGAATGCTAGGGAGTTCTGCCCATTTGGGGTTTAATTTTTCAGGGCAAGGCTAAACGGGGGAAACCCTGCCGCTGGTTTGAGGGGCGTGGGACTTACGAAACAGATGGTTGGAGGATTTGGGAGGCCGGGTGGGTGACCTTGGGAAGCTTGCCCTGAAGTGCAGAGTTGCTCAGCCTCCCTGCTCAGATCGGCACAGTATCTGGTGCCGAGGCTCCCAAGAAGGGGGCCCCGTCGGCGTCAGGCTCTGTAGTGCGAACCCCCATGTGACATTGTGGGGCTCACCCAGAGCCATCAGGGGTTCTCTCTGCTTGTCCTATAACTTCGGGTGCCTTCATGCCGTGCTGCTAGGCTCAGGGCTCTGGCACCAGCAGCCAGCCGACAGGCGTAAGGTTTCACCCTGCCTTCCACCAGCCTAGTGACCCCTTGCAACAAGTCTCTCCAGCTCTGTCTCCCTAAGTTCTGAACTCCCAGATGCTTGGACTTCTTCCCCTCTGGACCATCACCCCCGAAGGGGTGAAACCTGCCACCAGTGAGTTCACTTTGGAACACCAGGATTGCTATTCCCAAATGTTCAAACCCATGAGTCAGGCTCACCAAAAAAAAATCACGAGATTGGCTTTAAAATCGTGAGATTATGTAAAAATAATTAGATTTTATGTTCTTTTTATTTGCCTTCTGCTTTGAGCCTTGAAGGTGCACTGGGGTCACATTTTGAAGCTTTCTCCATCTCCACGAGGGCTGGACACTTACTTTTTCTTTAAGACCAAAGGCTGAAATCATCATATATCCACTTGACTCCAGGAGCTGGGGCTTTAAGGAAACCAATAATTGTCATGAATCTCATGACAAAATCATAAGAATTAGCAGCACCAGGACATAGTCCACACAGTTTGCACACCAGAGACCTGCTGGGGGCAAAAATAAACCGCAAGTTTATTTGACGGGAAAATCGTCGGTTCAGAGATGAACTGGGGAGGAAAAGCAACACACGCAGGTTACGCAGAAAATCAGCATAAAGATGCAACCTCAGGCTTGACACTCCTGTGTCTGCTAAACTCCCTTTTCTCATACAAGTTACCTGTTGCTGCTGGACGGCTTCCCAGCATGTCCTCGGCCTAGCGGGGCTCCAGTGTGTCACAGGCAGCACCCTACTTCAACGCTGGCCTCTGTTTCTGGCTCCCCTTCACTTTAGCCCCTCTTCCCTTTTAACATGGTAATACCCGATTACCCAGAGGGGGGAAATTCCCTCCGTCCTTGGTTTTCTTGGAGTTTTAATGTCTTTCCATTAACTTTCGTGGTCCACCATTGTCTTTCCCTGGGTTGTACAATGCTCGGTGCCTGGAGTTAGTTTTGTGTAAACAGCTCGTCTGGGAGGTGTCCCTCTTTGCCTGTTGGCTTCGCTCCCTGTTGTGAGGCGATGCTGTAGTTGCGCCACAGCTACAATTACAACTTTCTACGCAAAGATACACGCATACGTGCAGAACTCTAACCTGGATACAGCTCTCCTAATGACCACCGAGTTCAGAACATTGCACGCTTCCATCAAAGACGTTGCCTGACATATATTTATACCCCATAACCTTGTATACAACCAGTTGATTCACTTGCTTATTCTTTGGGGTTCAGATCCCCTGTTCGTCCATTGGGGTGTCTGGGGGTGTGGATACTGTGCTGCTGAGGCTTCCAATAAGACGGCCACTTAGCATCAGTCAGCGTAATGTGAACCTCTGTCTGCTGGGCACTGAGCTGTGACCTCTGCCCCACTCATTTCATCCAAGCCATCAAACAGCCGCTGGGGCTTCCATCTGGTCGTCTTGAGCCAGGTTGGGTTTGAATTGACAACCAATTCGGGAGAGGCTCTATATCCATCTACCAATCTCCTGATTCATCCAGTTCCCCTCCTGCAGTGCCATTGGATATCTAACAGGGAGTGCAAAGCTTCCAGTGCAGCTGCAGTGCCCAGAATGTGTGGCTGTTACCAAGCGGAGAAATGCTTGGAGTTATTTCTAATCCAGTAAATCATTATACGCCAGTAATCTCATCCAGGGGGAAATCAAGTTAATGGCAGATAGAGAGTATAAGCCGTAGGAAAGATAAGCTCTGTGGCTTTGAGGATGTGAAATAAAACCAAGAACCAAAGGCCACATTTTAAAAATAACAAATAAATACATTCAGAACCATCTTGGTTTGTGGAATCATTTTCCTTTTTAGTCTTCTGACCTTGTAGGCTATTACGGGAGGACCTGGCTAATTCATAGTAAGCACAGGGAGACCTGTCGTCAACTACTAGATTCTAGGAGCTAGGGAGTAAAAAAGACAACTTTAATTTGTTACCATTTCTGCTCTCTTCCTCCTCCTGCCCCCCGTGTCTGCATTTCACAGTGAAATCAGACCAGTCACTTTCATGCTTTGTTTCTAATCATTTGCATTCTAGTTCCCATGCACGCTAAGGTTTGTTGCTTGGGTTTCTGGACCTGTGCAGGCTATCTGAATGACTGAAGAAAGGGGACTGAAATATAGAGTGATCTCAGTATACTTAATCCTACCTCAGTGCAAGGAAATGGTCTAGATGACCCCTTTCAGCCCTACATTTCTGTGCTTCTATACAGCGGCGGCTCCCGGCACCAGCGCACCAAGTGCACGCCTGGGGCGGCAAGCCGCGGTGGGCGCCCTGCCAGTCGCTGTGAGGGCCTTTGGCAGCATGCCTGCGGGAGGTCCGCCGGTCCCATGGTTTCGGCGGCAATTCGGCGGCGGGGACGCCGAAGGCACAGGACCAGCGGACCTCCCACAGGCATGCCGCCGAATCGGCGTGACCAGCGGACGCCGCCGAAAGCTGCCTGCCTGCTGCGCTTGGGGCAGCGAAAAACATAGAGCCGCCCCTACTTCTATAACAAAAGGAAACATTTGTGCTGATAAATTGTGTAATTTTTTTTTCTTAATGAAGTCACGTTTTGGGATTGTAACTAGATAAAAATCCCATCTGATGTTGAACTGTGCTGGGCTGGCACTATTCTCTTTAAATACACACTATAACCAATATGTACCCAGCGATCTGCTGGGGAGGAGTATACTAAAACCATTTTGATTTCTTTTCACAGCCAGAAATGGACTTCTTTGGGCGCCAGCTTGTTAAGAAACAGGTGTCTCCATCAGCAGGTATGTGCAGAAAAAAGGCATGATGTTGGTCAGGAGAGATGGAAGGAAACTGAGAACATATGTTGTAGTAGAAAGCTTTGTAATATCTTCTGTGGTTCCATAATGCTGAAATCAAACTGACTGTGGGTCACCGAAAGGGTGGATGGAGCTGGGGAGCAATTTCCATGGCGTGTTTTGCAACTGTCTGACAATATTTATGTATAAGGGAGGATTGGAAAAAAAACTTGGGCCATAAAGGCAGTCCAGTCCCCTACATGGAGCAGCTAGGGTAGGATATTTCATTATGGAAGCACCCAAAGGCCCAGTTAATAGATAATAAAGATGGCTGCGGTTCTGCTCCTGCAATGTTTTAAGCAATAATTTTACTTAGGACATGTCTATGCTACAGCTGTGGTGCTGTAGCGCCATAGCATAGACGCTTACTACACTGATAGAGGGACTTTTCCTGCCGCTGTGGTTCATCCATCTGTCCAAGAGACACGAGCTAGGTTGATGGAACAGTTCTTCCCTTCACCTAGCTGCGTCTGTGCCAGGGGTTAGGTCGACCGAACTGTTGTGGTCAGGGCGTGACATTTTTCACACCCCTGAGCGACGGAGCCAGGCCGATCTAGTTTTGAAATGTAGACCCGACCTTAGCAAAGTTACGCAAGATGCTTAAGTGTGTGTAGGATCAGGGGCTTTTGAATGTAAGCCCCTAGTTTTGAATGCACTTAATGTGGCGTACTGAATTGACTATGGAACCACTCGTCGTAAGAACTATGCCCAGCAGTAATGTTTGCAGGTGTCGTCCTTTTCAGTGTCGTATTGGTACTTCCATGACAGTCTGTTGCCTAAACTTTAAGATTTTCCCATTTTAAGTCCCTTGATTTAATTGTATTATCGTATCTTCTCTCCCCACCCACCAACCTTCTCTGGTTTACCATCAGCTAATCAAACGTCCGAGCACAACTCTGTTGAAAAACAAATCGGAAAGGCCGTTGGAAAGAGCGATGTTTGGTTCCGATTTAATGAAGGGGTTTCGAATGCCGTCCGGCGGAATATTTACATTAAGGATTTGCTCTAGTGATAATTTAAAGAAATAAAACTGAAGAAACAATACATACAGAACAGAAAGAAAAAATTGACTCTTAGCCTTCTAAAGAACATGTATGGTTCATGAGAACTTTCCTGCTTTTATTTTCTATTCAGCTGTTTGTAAAATAAATAAATAAATAAATAAGCAAAATAAATGTTTTTAAAAATTTGTGAAGTATTGCTTTGTTTATTTTATTTATAAACCCTTAGTTCTCATATTTCGCTGGCTTTGCTGCAAAATTGTATATTCTACAATATACAAAAAAGTATTGAAAATGTTTTTATAAAAGTGTTTTTTCTTTTACAAGTTCAAAAAGGCTTTGTAAGGTTCACAGAAGCATAGTTAAGCGCAGGCTTAATTGAAAACTACAGGATTAATCAAGAGAAACCTTTTGCCCGTTGTTTGACATTGCTTTTCAAGTCCCCATTCTGATGCTGCTAATCAGCTAGTCTCCAATACATTGCATCTCTTACCAATTTACTCTTTTATGGCATGTGCTTTTTCAGTATAAAAAAGAATCGCTTCTACTAATAAAAATAATAAGACAAGATGAGGATAGTGTTTGTACAGTTAGTCATATTAGGAAACTAATAAAAAAATGTACATTCAGAGTTAATGCAAAATTGAATATCTCAGGAGGAAGCCATTTTGTCAGCCACGGCCGCTTGGGAGTGAAGTTGGATTTAGGGGCATTTAGAGTATGGTACATTTTCCTTTTTCCACCCAAGGGTTGCTTTTCATCAGCTCTGGATTCAGAAATGGGTCTTCTGGAATGCTGTCTTCTATCCACTTCATCAACCTACAGAGAAGAGGGGAGAGGCGGGATGGTTAAACGGCTCTGGGCGTTTCTCATTGTCTTATTCTGGCTGAAGTGGAGCTAGAACGTTTCTTTTCATTGTTACGCAGTAATGATACTTAGCGTTTCCATGGCATCGCCCAGCCCCCCGGCCCGTCAGGTAGGTAAAATAATAGTATCCTCAAAAGACAAGGGGGCCAAGCAATTGCCCACGGCTACACAGAGTCAGGAGTGCGATTGTGAAGAGAACCCGGCAGTCCCACTAAACCCTCAACGCCCAGACTCTGAGTTTCCCAATGCTGTGGGGTTGCTGCCGTCGGAGTGAGCTACATGGGCTGCAGGGCACAGCATTGTCCAGAGTGGTGATGAAGCCTGATGGGCTGGTCTGTGGTGTGGGGAGCAGGAAACTTAGCAGAGGAGCAGTGGCTCTTGCATTTATTTGGCTCTTTAATTTTGTCCGTCCCTTGCACCGTGTCTCAGCAGGCCGCCTCTGGGATGGCTGAGTGGGTGAGCTGCCCCCAGGCCTCCTGGCACCGTGTTCAGCTACACTTGCCACTCGCTCTCCTTTCTTCTCTCCAGTCTTCTCACTTCTCTTCTCTCACTTTTCGGTGTATTTTCCCTTTCACGTGTCTTGCTGACTACTCCCCCTCCCTCTCCTTATTCCCCCCACTTACCCAAAGGGTGTAGACGGTTGGAGGCAGAGCACAGAGAAGTGTGGGATGGCAGGTCGCCATCACTAGCTTCCTATTGTCTAATCTCTAACAAGGCAGGTAAGCTGGAGGAAGGATAGTCCTGTGGATAGGGGGTAGGTCTGGGGCTTATGCCTAGTTTGTCCACAGAGTTCCTGTGTCACTTTGGCCCAGGCCCTCATAGGTATTTGAACACCTATCTCCCATTAATTTCAATGCATCTGATGCAGTTGGGATGGCGGGGGCAGATAGGTCAGTGGTTTGAGCATTGGCCTGCTAAACCCAGGGTTGTGAGTTCAATCCTTGAGGGGGTCACTTAGGGATCTGGGGCAAAATCAGTAGCTTGGTCCTGCTAGTGAATGCAGGGGGCTGGACTCAATGACCTTTCAGGGTCCCCTCCAGTTCTATGGTAGGTATGTCTCCATATATTCATATTTATTTATTACTTCTGCTATCTAGATAGGTCTTGGATTGGATTCTTAGAGCTCCCAGGGCTTAAAAGAACAGTGCACAACTCCTTTCTCATGAGAATTTACACAACAACACTACAAAGATTTGGAACTTAACAAAGTCATTAAGTCATATGAATTTTTCCAGAAGCCAGGGGAGGTGCCTAGAATGGAATAGGTCCTGCCACGTGCGCTATGGAGTTGTCCCCAGTGCAATCAGTTTGCTCCCGAAGGTGCAGATTTTCAAAGGTAGATGCAAGTTCAGTGGCAGCTCCCTTCGCGCCCCCCCCCTTGCACCAGCAGACGCCTGCCTTTACACACGTATTTGGCACAAGTGTTGCCGAGCGACTCTGTTGTACGTGCAGTTATCCAGGCTGTGGGTGCGGAGAGAGGAAGTGATGTTTCTAGGTGCACCTCCAGCCTGGCTCCGCAGGGAGTGCTATCTTCAGGCCCACTGGGCGGGTGCGGGGGGCGTGGCCACCATTAAATATGGACTAAAGCAGGAACCCTGCAAGCTACTACCACCTCAAGAGCAGGTCACCGAAGGGGAAGCGTCCTTTGCTTTCTAATCCAGGGGGAAAGAACTGAGAAACAGCTGATCCAACCAATCATGGCTAAAACCGAGCTAAATTAAAGTTAGGTGCAGACACGTGTTAACCTAGCGTTACCCTTATCCTGGGCAAATCTTTCCTGCTGGCCTGGAACCCCAGTGCTTAGGCTTCCTGGAAGATTGGACACACAACCCACTTCTCTCTATGTATCGCTGCTTAGATCCTATGACGATAATGGGTGCTGAAGAAAACTGGCCATGCTGAATACTTTTGGCTCTGCCGTCCTCCCTCGGTATCGGTGGTGCTGCTGGTGGGGCAGAGACAGTTGTGTAGCTAAGGTTAGGAATTTACGCCTAGATTCTCTGAGGTAATTAGGTACTTAACTGCAATTGATTTCAAAGGTCCTAAGTATTGTGGAAGATCTGGGCCCAAGTATTCTTGATGCCGATTTATTTCTGGCAAAGGGCGCTGGAGTCGAGACCCTAGAATCTGCCGTCCTATTCAGAGCCAGCAGCAGGGCCCACTTCCCACAGGGCCTGCCACTGCACCTCACTCCTCCCAACCACTAGGCCTTGGTCTGAGACCCACCACCTTGTTCCATGTGGGCTACTGAACGGCCGCCAGAAGGGGCCGGGGAAAGCATTGACTCACTCAGGTATTGTTTTAGAAGACATTTCCCTCTTGTAAGCCAGTTGGTATTTCAGGCTGTCTACTTCCTTCTTCCACTGTGGAAGGTCCCATTCATCCATGGTGGCAGGTCTTAGCGAACGTCCTTCTTAATGGGGAAGCAACCTGGGCTGAAAAACAAAGGCAAATTTGTACTCGTTAACACTCCCAAAGCCCATTCCTCCTGAGGTGCGTTTGTTGTAGCTCGTTCCCTCCCGCTCTGGCCCTTCCTGGCTGAACACGTCAGTGCTGGACGGCCCTTGGAAATGAGCTTTCCTACAGGTGTCTCTAATCGCTGGAAAAGACCCTGCCCTGGCGTTCACGGATCAAGTGGCTTGTCGAGAACGCGTCAAGGCTTTCAGTGCAACCCGCCCCTTTGCCCGGGGCCTGTTGGGTGCAATGGGCGTGACGGTTACCCGGTAACGGTGGCTCCACACGTAGCCCTTGCCATAAGAGTTCAAACAAAAGGAACTCACAACCTGGGGCTTAGGATCTGCTGATGCAGAATCCCCCCCCTTCGGCATATTCACCGTGCGTGCGCCACGGACTCGGGCTGTCGTCACCACTGGGGGTTGCAGATGGTCAGCGAGGTCATGCCTGGAAGCTGAGCTTGGGCTACCCTTCATCGTGGTCCCTGGCACTGACCCTCCCCCCCAAAATCTGCTCCTGCCATAGCCCTTAGATGTCCTTCCAGACCTTTACCAGGGGCTCATTGTTTGCAGCTCCTTCACCGCCACCCAGCCCCACCTCTCTAAACATGGGAGAAGGCCTTCGTAGCCCAGAGTCACACCATCGTTCGACAGCTGTTGCCCTTCGCTCTTCTTTCTATGATGCAACGGCGTCGTACTAGGGGTCCCTCCCATGCATCAAGGGTCCCTGCCATGGCTGCTGCTCAGTCTGAGGCTACCGCTAAGGAACTAGGTCGGGCTCGTGTGTTCATTTGGAAGTAATTCTCCCCTGCGTTGTTCCCCCTCCCCTCTGCAATTTGCATAGTGCATCATACGGCATTATCATTTGACTAACAAATCCTTTTGAGTGCGGCCTGGGGCGGGGGAGCTGGCAGCTGTTCCTGACCGATGGAAATGAAGGATTTAGCCTTGATGTAAATATCTGCCTTTGAGGAGTGGTGTAACAGCGGACTAAGCTCCAAAGTGGGTCGGATACATGGTACTACTTGCTAACCACAGCCCCTTTGTTCCGAATCCTGCCTTCCCTGTGTGAAACCAGGCCCGGATCCTGCGGACTGAGAATCTCCTGGCATTGTGTGTCTCATGGTCAGAGAAGATCCAAGTGTACTTGTCTCAGACATTAGGACAACACTTACAAGTGGCATGTGACTAAAAGCAGCCTGGGATTCAGATGGGGGAAGGCAAAGGGTTCATGAAGAGAGGCAACGAGTGACTTCCAGGGGAGACAAACCAAACACAATTCTTACTGAATGAGCCTGGGGAAGATTTCCTTTTGGACACCTGGGAGAGACCCACCAATGTTCTGATTTGGGCAGGTCGCTGGTGCCACATATGCAGATACCCGCTAAGTCTGGATAAGAGAGGGAAGACAAATTTTGTGTGAGGGGCTTTCAGACAGCTGGGGAGAGGCCCTGGGTCAGAGGAAAG